GGGTCTCAAACCCATGGGCTCAGGCAGTCCACTCACCTCAGCCTCCCAAAGGCGTGGGATTACAGGCTGAGCCACCGAGCCTGGCTCATTTCATTTTTTTAAATGAAACGTTTTATCATGTATTATTTTTCAAAAACAAATCTGAACCATAATTTGAAAATCTAAAATTTCACTTAAAAATCTGGAGTTGGCTGGGTGCGGTGGCTCAGCCTAAAATCCCAGCACTTTGGAAGGCCGAGGCAAGAGGATTGCCCGAACCCACGGGTTCGAGACCAGTCCAAGCATCTTGGCGAGACCTCGTGTCTACAATAAATCAAAAACTAGCCGGGTGTGGTGGCGCACGCCTGTAGTTCCGGCTACTTGGAAGACTGAGGCGGAAGGATTGCTGAAGCCCAGCGGGTTGAGGCTGCGTTGGCTATGAGTGTGCCCCTGCTCTCCAGCCTGGGTGGCAGAGTAAGATTCCTACTCAAAAAAAAAAATCTGGAGTTCTGGCACCTCTCAAAAACGAATCGATCCGCAAACACTGGGCATGTATATCTGCATGGAAACGCCTCAGGGCTGAGCAGGGTGGCCCACCAGCAGGCGCAGGGCTGGCCAAGGCTGGGGTCGGGCCTGGGCGTCCAGGAGCTGCCGCCCCAGCTGTCGCTCAGGCTTCCACTCGTGCCTTGGCGGCCGGGCCGAAGGCTCCCTCCCTGCACCCCGAGAGGGACACTCACCCACGGCCTGGTGCAGGGCCAGGAAGCCCTGGTGCGGGTGGGTGGGCTCGTCCTCTGAGGCAGCGTGTGTGCGGAAGGCCAGCCGCAAACTCTTCTCTGAGGACACAAACTCCCTCTGACCAGGAGGCCTGCTCGGAGGGGAGCCCTGCTGACCGCAGAGCCGGCCGAGCTTCTTCCCACGGGCTGAGACCTGGAAGCGGGAGAGTGAGGCCAGGTGGGGTGCTGCGAGGGTGCGTCGCCAGGGGTCCCAGGGTCACATCCTGGCATGACCCCGGCCTTGTCTAGGCCTGCAGCCTTCCTCAAGCAGCGGCCTGTTCCGTGCTGACTCAGTTTCTTCCAGACATGGCCACACGCTGGCACCTCTTTTTAACCGGCCGTCAGCGTCCCGTTAAGCCTGCCCCAGCTTCGCCCTTTCAAGAAGCCCCTTGGGAACCCCAGGCTTCCCGCGAGAGTCGCTGGACTGTGGGTCCTGAGGAGGCAGAAACCACCCCTGCGTGGCCCGCCGCGGAGTCTCTGAGTGTGCAGCCACGCGCTCCTCCCAGCCAGCTTCTCCCTTGTCCCCGCCCCCTACCCATCACCTTCCACATCTGAGTTACTTGGTGTGTGTGTGTGTTTTGGGGTCTCATTCCGTCTCCCAGGCTGGAGTGCCGTGGCATGACCACGGCTCACTGCAGTCTGGTCGTCGTGGGTTCAGGCAATCCTCCTGCCTTGGCCTCCCAAGGAGCTGAGACTACATGTGTCACCACGGCTGGCTGATTTTTAAATTTTTTTCAAGAGACGAGGTCTCGCTGCATTGCCCAGACTGGTCTCGAACTCCCAGCTCGGGCAATCTTCTTGCTGCGGCCCCCAAAATGTTGGGATTATAGGCGTGAGCCATCATACCCGGCCTCCTCTGAGTAACTTTCGATGGCCAACGTCTGTGAAGCGAGAAGACGCTCTGCAGAGACCGGGTCCCCTGGGGTCCCTGCCCCCTCCTGCCCTCCTTCTTTTGGGTGCCCCCTCACCCCCGCTCTGTCATCAAAGCCCTTACAATGTGCGGGCCCGAGGTCACAAGCATCTACGGCGCGGGTTCGCTGGAGGGTGCTGCTTCACCCAGTACGTTCTCAGAGCAGGTTGTCTCTCTGGATGGGCTGGGCCCTGCTCAAATTCCTCCCCACGGGCTCCCCGCCCAAGGAGGGGCAACTTGTCAGCCTCTCTACTCGGCACACAGCCCGCGGCCCGGTTCCTTTCCTTCCTCTCTCAGCCTCCCAGCCTCCCAGCCTCCCCGTCTTCGTCTCACTCTGTAGGCTAGACTGGAAGCAGTGGCCCAATCCTGTCTCACCGCAGGCTCAAGATTCCGGGCTTGGGCGGTCCTCTACCCACAGCCTCCTGAGCAGTTGCGACGACAGGAGCCCGCCGCCACGCCTGGCTCGGTTTTGTATTTTTCGTAGAGACCAGGTCTCGCTATGTTGCCTAGGCTGGTCTCGAGCTTCCTGGGCTCAAGCAGTCCCCCTGCCTCGGCCCTTTCGGCGTGCTGAGATCACAGGTGTGAGCCACCGGGCCGGCTCTCTTTATCCCGGAGAGTCACATGGGTCCACACACCCCGGGCTCTCGCTGGCTCGCCCGCACTCATTCCCCTCGGGTCTCGAGTGCCTTCTGGGCTCCATCCGGCCCGTCTCACTCTGGCCGCGTTAACCGGGTAAAAGTTGGCAGGAAGAACGCTTCTCAGTCGCTCCAGAGCCTTGCTCAGACAGGTCCCGGAGGATCTTTCCCCCAGAACACCGCCAGGGTGACTCCCACGCTGAGGCAGGTGCCTCCTGGGGGAAGAACCTTGGCAGAGGAGCCGGCGTGCGACTGACCGACTCGGCTGTAAGCCCCTCCGGCTTTCCTTTCACTCCTTCTCACGAACTGTTGGCTGAACAGAATTGCTTCGGCTTCCCAGTAGCGAAACAGAATGAAGGCACACAGAACGTCCCGAGCCCCGTGTTAAGTTCCAGGCTTTGCCGCTGGTTCACGTGTGAGTGATGAGTTTCATAAGCACCCACGACATGGTTTCTTCTCCTAGGAGAGGGTTCAAGGGACCTCTTCTCGCTAGGACAGCACCACCTCCTTCGGCAGTATTGGGTGAGGACCGTGCTAAATGCTTGTTCATTTACGATGCGTTCCACATCCGTGGTGTGCCTTATACACGGTGAGCTTGGACTTCATTCATTCTGTTTTTTTTTTCAATTAGGGTCTCACTCTATCGCCCAGGCTGGAGGGCAGTGGCATGATCACTGATCACTGCAGCCTTGAATTCCTAGGCTCAAGCGATTCTCTCACTTAGCCTCCCAAGTAGCTGGGACCACAGGTGTGCACCACCACACCCGGTCCATTTTTCTATTTTTTTTTGAGTTGCAGTCTCACTCTGTCGCCCAGGCTGGAGTGCAGTAGCATGCTCACAGCCACCGTAGCCTCAAACTGCTGGGCTCAGGTGACCCTCCCACCTCAGTCTTCCAAGTAGCTGGAACCACAGGTGCATGCCATCATGCCCAGCTAATTTTTTTGATTTATTGTACAGACAAAGTCTCGCCAAGTTGCCCAGACTGGTCTTGAACCCCTGGGCTCAGGCAATCCTCTCGCCTCCACCTCCCAAAGTGCTGGGATTATAGGCGTGAGCCACCACACCGGGCCCTATTTTTTTCTTTTTTTGTAGAAATGAGGTCTCGCTATGTTGCCCAGGCTGGTCTCAAACTTCTGGGCTCAAGGATTCTCCCACCTGGACCTCCCAAAGTGCTGGGATTACAGGTGTGAGCTACTGCTCTCAGTCTCTTTCATTCTTTTGCTTATTCCTCCAACCACTTTTACTGATGATGGACTTTGTGGTACTGGTTATGTGTAAGATGCTGGGTTCAGTGCTTGGGATGCAGATTTGACAAGGCATAAATTCTGCGACTGGGGACCCCCCCGGTCTGGCTGAGGACACGGGCAAGTAGAAAGTAAACTAAATTGCAGTGTGTTGAATTCTGCATTCAAGGTGTGTGTCTGTGTATGACTTGCATTAGGAACGGAGAGGACGGTGGAATCCTATTCTTTATTTTTAAATTAAAAAACTTTTTCCCGGGCTCGGTGGCCCAGTCTGTCATCCCAGCACTTTGGGAGGGTGAGGCAAGTGGATTGCCTGAGCCCGCGGGTTTGAGACCCACCGGGGCAACTTGGTAAGACCTAGTCTCTACAATACATAAATAAAAATTAGGTGGGCATGGTAGCACGCCCCTGTAGTTCTGGCTACCAGGAAGGCGGAGGCAGGAGGGTCACTGGCGCCCAGCAAGTCGAGGCTGCGGTGGCCAGGAGCGTGCCACTGCATTCCAGTCTGGGCGACGGAGTGAGACTTCAACTCAAAAAAGTAAAAAAAAAAAAAAGCCGGGCTCTGTGGCTCAGCCTGTAATCCCGCACCTTGGGAGGCTGAGGTGAGTGGATTG